GTTCAGCCTGGTTTACATAGCGAGTTGCAGGTCAGCCAGGGCTACATAGCAAGATCTTATCTCCAAAAATTATAACATCACAGCCCTGAGCTGAGACAGTCAGGGAGAAGTGGAAAGTCATGGTGTACTTGGGAAGCTGCAATTCAGTGTGAGCAGAGAGCAGAATCGCCTAGGTTTTACTGCCTTTTTAATATTTGAAATAAGGACAGTGTATGTATAGGTTATAACGTGTTATAACACATGTTCTTTATGTACCCAACTTCCTACTGAATCAGTTGATTAGAAAAAGCCTGATGTATAATCTGTTCTGTCTTTCCAAACTGCTGAAGAGAAAGAAAGGCATGCACCCCACAGGTTTGCTGGGACAAATACACAAATGATCATTTTAGAGACTTTATGTGATAATTCGTGTGACAGCCCCATTGAGACAGTTTCATACTGTAATATAGACTGTTCTCAAACTCATGGTAACCTCCTGGCCTCAGTTCCCCAAGGGCTAGGGTTACTGGTGTGAACTGCCATGCCCACCCGGCTTGCATGACAAAATTTGATTCCCTATTTAATTTTCCATAGCTTTGCTTATACCTCTGCTCCTGGGTGTGTCCTGCCAGGAGCAGGGGTGTAACATCTTGCTGCGTGACAGTGAGATGCCCTTACTGTGCGGTCTCCTTGCTGGAAAAGCAGGAGCAGCAACAGCACATACTGATCAGAGATTAGAAATACACAAAGCACTTTCTGTGTGTCACATGGAGCATGACAAGTACTGTCACCACAGGGACATCAAATTGTCACTGTGCCTGTGGGGTTCTCAGTGCGTTGTCTGACACCCTCAGGCAGAGCTGGTGCTATTTAGTGGTGGTTTAAAACAGTACAGCCATAACCTCAGTTTTATCTTCTCTCCAGCCACAGAAGCAGAGCGTCTCGGGAATTCAGAAGGACCCATCAGACCAGAGCAGATGTCAGGCTTCTGAGGAAGGAAACAAGGGGCCCCCAGAGAGGCCTGTGCCGACGAAGGCTGCTCCTGGACACAGGCGGATGGTCCGCAGGCATACAGTCAATGACACAGCCATACCCCAGGTCCCAGAGGTGACTGGCCACCTGACCACCCAAGAGGCTAGTCTTTCTCAATCTTAGCAGTAAGGGATTGGTAAATCTGCTGTCGAGACACGGGTTTGCAGTAAGATGGTGAGCATGAGTACAGCTTAGAACTAAGTATATTTTCAAATAACCAGCTTGAGAGACTGTCCCTCAGATTTACCACCCTCTCTCCTCTTCAAAGCTAACTAATATACTTGAAAAGGAATAGGAGGGAATGACTGAGCCCCTTCATCTTAGTATTTGGATTTCCTGGTTATGGGCAGAGGCTTCACCATCAGATTCTGACCTCCTTTGGCTGGAAGGTGCTGGGTGTCTGTGGTGTGGATAAGTGGGCAAACCCTATGCTAGGACCCCCATGTCCAGGAGAAGTCAGAGAAGCAATGTCAGTCCTGTGGAACTGGATACCAGGCAGAGAAGCATCCTGTTGGGATGAAGAAATGGAACCTGAAAACACTTGAGCTGGAAAGTGCCTGAATGCCATTTTGATGTCCATCCCAGTGAAAAGGATCTACCATTCTGCCTTGTTCTACACCACACCTATGGGAAAAGTTGGCCGTCACTTTCCCAACAACAGACACTTGGGTCACTGCACGTGTGCACATGTAGCCGTTTCTACGATGGCTACTGGAGAGCAGCTTTGGCACATCTAAAGTCTTTTGATTCCAATTCACAACTTACAGCACTCTAAGCCAGGTCAGAGTTTAAGTTAGAATCCGTTGCCATTGGTTCCTTTTTATAACTTTCTATAGATTCTATTATTTTTTTATGTTCCTGATCCTAAAGTTGCAAACATGGGTTCATCCTGAGTCCATTTTCAAAGGACTTTGTAAAGAGGACATGATTTTGTGCACATTCTTGGAGATACTTGAGGATGTATAGAAGGGAGGGGCTGATTATTTTTCTACAAAGTAATTTATGATTTCTAATTTTCTAATGTGCCTTGGATATGTGCCAAATGATGGGAAAGAAAACAGTAAACTTTATGACTCTTGAGCATGTCACGCAAGTTTTACTTTGCTGTGCAGTTTCTCAGCCACCCTTCTGTAAACCTGTTGTGAAAATTGCGGCTCCCTGGGGGAAATGGAATTGTCTATTCCTTCTTCCTGAGGTCCCAACGACAAACACTGGCGTTCACATTAGGGAACCACTGAGTTTACTGGGCTTCCTTACAGAGCAATGGATGGTAAACCTTAATAGTCGTCACACAGGGAGGTCGGTGTCCAGCATGGATGAGGACTCTTGCCTGTGTAGACAGAGCCCTCTTCCCTAGTCTTTCCCTGCCTCTCTCTATATACACACTAGCCCTCCCTGAGTCCATGTGTAATCACAGGCTGGAGGTGTACATTTAGCTCAGAGTCCCATGACTGTCCCCCCACCCTTCCCATAAAGGAACAGTAACCTTCAACACACCTAGCTGCAATGATCTTTTGCAAGCGGGCCAGCTGATTCAATGAAGATGGTGGTAGTATGGCTCTGAGATAATCCTGTACCACACTGTGCCGTGTAGAAAGCATCCTCATGGGATGGATGCAGTGGGTTTTTTGTTTTTGTTTTTAGGTTTT